TTGATACATAAAGTCATACAACACACTTGATGTGGATGAGCAACTTCTTTATTATTTACACACGACGTTTCTGGGCTAATACGTCGTGTGTAAATAGTAAAGAAGTTGCACATCTACATCAAGTGTCTTGTATTACCCTACCAACTTCTCAATGCCTATCAAACATCTGATACACAGAGTCGTCCTCACCTATCTTCCCCCGTCACATAAATGTCATGATGTATATTGACCATACAGAGAAACATGCCCTGTTTAAACATCAGACCGGCAGCAACCTATCTTCCCCCGTCACAATATGTCATGATGTATATTGACCATACAGAGAAACATGCCCTGTTTAAACATCAGACCGGCAGCAACCTATCTTCCCCCGTCACAATATGTCATGATGTATATTGACCATACAGAGAAACATGCCCTGTTTAAACATCAGGCCGACAGCAACCTATCTTCAGATGAAAGTCAGGCACCTTCACATGAAAGGAAGGTCAGGCACAGACTATTACGATGACAATAAAACATGGTGTGTTTCTGTACCGGGTCAGCAGTTTACACACGTCAAATTGATCCAGATTAATAACCTTCTGGCCCCTCACAGCCACAGTGGTTGTATTTACCACAGGTACTTCGTCTGTTGGACAGTATAAGAATCTATTCACACCTCAAGCTGATACCAATAGAATGTTCGATCTTGATTTCGGTTGTCGTTTTTGTCAAAAACAGAAACACTGTCGCCTTAGACTGGGATTCAGTGACTTAAAACGTGATAAATAAAATCGTTTCATGTCTGATAATGCTCCTTGTTCCTGGTCACATGTTTATAAGGATGTTTTCCACTACTTCTTCATGTGTCCTAAATATAATTGCATTCGATATGAATAATAATTTTATGAGAAAGGTTTCTCCCTGCGGGATGTGCTAAGTGGTAATAACTCAGTGTCATATCAGACAAATATGGATATTCTACAGTCAGTGCATCAATTCATTATTTCATCAAAACGATTTGATTCATAAACGTGTTGTAGTTTCTACTGTTTTCTTATTTGTACCAACTGGCCATGAAACAAAACTAAGGTAATTTGGTATTATCCAAGATTGTTATCCTTCAGAGATAACCTGTTCGTATTTTCACAACTTGTTATAATTATTATGTACAACATTGTGTATATATGTGAAGGCTTGTTTGCCAATAATTTTCGTTCACGAATAAAATCTGTGCAAATCTGTTACTGAGAATAAATACCTGGGGCACTGACACAAAGTTAAGAACCATCTGATGTTTATGTGATGTATTGAGAAAACATGGATTACAATATGGTGCTTGTCAGCAAACAGCTCTTATCACAAAATGGATATACAAGAATAGTGCCCATGTTTCCCGAACTGTGTGAATATCACGTCTCTCGCGTGCTCGTCTACCAAAAGCCTCACATGTATCCTCAGCGTTTGCAACTACTACGAAGATTGATGATAAACTATCCGATATTCTTCTTCTACAGAATGAAGTGTACATATGTACTGTCATTGAAATTTACACAACATTCCCAGAATTTCATTTGCATGAGAGGCCAGTCACGTATCACAGACAAATGATCATAAGTTTATGAAAAACGTATATTTATATTTATATTTATATTTATATTTATATTTATATTTATATTTATATTTATATTTATATTTATATTTATATTTATATTTATATTTATATTTATATTTATATTTATATTTATATTTATATTTTTGTGTCTGTCCACGAGATTGCCTGTATGCATGTATGTTTGGGTTTGTCTATGTCAATGTGTGTGGACATGCGGAAACGTGTGCGTAAGTACTTGTCTGCATATAACAGCCCGGCTGTTACGTTAAATTTTATCAAATAATCCTAGTTCTATAGACAGCCCCCAAAATATCAAATACGGCGACGCTGTTCGCCAGCAGCAGGAAATTCGTCACCAGACCGGTTGTGTTGCTGCAGTAATGACGACCAACGTGTCGAAATGTCGTGCACATCACAGTGAATATATGTTCTTGTCTGACACTGTGAGTTGTGATCATCAATCAGCTGCAGATCACGATACAGGGAACTTAGCATTTTAAGTATACTCATGGAATGAAAAAAAGGCAACATAAGGAAAAGCTATTTACTAAGGTCTCGTTATGAAAGATTGAACAAACAAGGCACAAAGTAGATTGAACAAACACCTTGCACAGTAAACATAACAAACACGTCACAAAGTAGATTGAACAAACACCTAACAAAGTAAACATAACAAACAGGCCACAAACTAGATTGAACAAACACGTCACAAAGTAGATCGAACAAACACTTCACAAAGTACACTGAACAGACACGTCCCTAAGTAGACTGAACAAACACGTCACAAATTACACTGAACAAACACCTCAAAAATGACACTGAACAAACACGTCACAAAGTAGAAACAAACACGTCACTAAGTAGATCGAACAAACACTTCACAAAGTACACTGAACAAACACGCCACTAAGTAGATCGAACAAACACGTCACAAATTACACTGAACAAACACGTCACTAAGGAGACTGAACAAACACGTCACAAAGTAGAAACAAACACGTCACAAAGTAGATCGAACAAACACTTCACAAAGTACACTGAACAAACACGCCACTAAGTAGATTGAACAAACACCTAAAAAATTACACTGAACAAACACGTCACTAAGTAGACTGAACAAACACGTCACAAAGTAGAAACAAACACGTCACAAAGTAGATCGAACAAACACTTCACAAAGTACACTGAACAAACACGTCACTAAGTAGACTGAACAAACACCTCAAAAATGACACTGAAAAAACACGTCACAAAGTAGATCGAACAAACACTTCACAAATTACACTGAACAAACACGTCACTAAGTAGACTGAACAAACACGTCACAAAGTGGAAACAAACACGTCACAAAGTAGATTGAACAAACACTTCACAAAGTACACTGAACAAACACGTCACAAAGTAGACTGAACAAACACGTCACAAAGTGGAAACAAACACGTCACAAAGTACACTGAAAAAACACGTCACAAAGTAGATTGAACAAACACGTCACAAAGTACACTGAACAAACACGTCACAAAGTAGACTGAACATACACGTCACACAGTAGATTGAACAAACACGTCACAAAGTAGAAACAAACACGTCACAAAGTAGATTGAACAAACACGTCACAATGTTTTAAAAGGATATTAAGCACAGGGGCTTTTGTGAAATGATTCTTGACTTTAAAATAGGTGATTCCATGTATAAATATTTACCTTGCCGTGTTTTGACTACAACACATTATATTGGTGCAGTGAGCAGACCCGCCCCAGGCGTCATTTGTGTAGGGTGTAACTGTTTTATATTATTGATATAAAGGCAGACACATGTTGATGCCTGTAGCTGTTCCTAATTGCCACCATTTCCGGTGTTTTGTCTACATTTCCGGGTATTATTGTTTGTTGTTGTTGATTTGTATTTTTCGGTTTTAAGTGAAGATGGTTTGGTTTTGTTGGGATTTTGTGTGTTTGTTTTTTCCAGATTTTGATGAGACATTGCAGTTATACTGACAAATGTATACAAATTCTTTACTTCTTCGGCATTTGGCGATTTGAAAAGAAATCCTGCAAATATTTTAAGATTTCAAAGCGATTCCACATGTACAGTTTGCTATTGTCTTGGGGGATTAAGAATAATTTACCAGCCTCGATGGTCTGACTTAGTTTCATGCGTCTCCCACGACGGAACAAATCACTATTTGTTTGTTTGTTTTTGTGTACTGTTGTTTTTTCGTTTGTTATACAGGCCATTGACTGTTACTTGTGACTTTCATCCTGTATCATTTATTATATATGTCCACTGACATGTTCAGCACTACCTTATACAACGTATACTAACAAGCCGTGTCAGCTCATTACCTGGAGAGATATTTACATAAGCAAGTTTACCGTTTCACCGATCCTGATTTCTTTGGAAATATAAATATGTTTAAACCTTTCATTATATCAGTTGTACATTTCTGGCCTACTTTTATCATAAGTGCCTTAAAATACCGTTATGCCTTAAAATACCGTTATGCCTTAAAATACCGTTATGCCTTAAAATACCGTTATGCCTTAAAATACTGTTATGCCTTAAAATACCGTTATGACTTAAAATACCGTTATGACTTAAAATACCGTTATGACTTAAAAACCGTTATGACTTAAATACCGTTATGCCTAAAAATACTGTTATGACTTAAAAATTATGTTTTTGTTGATGTTTATGTTTCTTGTTATGAATGATGGTTGATAGACTAGGGTGTATCATGGATGTATTTTCCCTGTATCTGGGATGTATTTTCCCTGTATCTGGGATGTATTTTCTGGGATGTATTTTCCCTTTATCTGGGATGTATTTTCCCTGTATCTGGGATGTATTTTCCCTGTATCTGGGATGTATTTTCCCTGTATCTGGGGATGGGGTAGGTAAGTCAACCACAATACATGTTTTTAACAGATCTTACAAATTCAGTTCGGAAAAGCTTAAACGTCTGTACAAAGTGTAGAATATACCTTGAAACCGTTGCTACGTCCTCATAAAAATGTAATAACGCCAGTCAAGTGGGTTTGATGTTTTGAGACATGGCGACATGGTACGATATGATGTATGACGGAAGTATGTCGAACTGTACCCATTAATTGTAAGGGATCTGTGATATGAAAAACGAAGGAAAACTTTTCTGACAGTTTGACTTTTGGTCGGAAATCTGTTTCCTGTGACACGAGCGTCAAAGATTAATATTTTATTTTGATTATTATGCAGATTTTATTGTCATGTCAGTGTCATATATGATTAATGTCCCACACGCAGAAACACAAGTTTGTCACCGACTCTCTGGAACAGCTCAAGTCAGCGTGTCGGGGCATGCGCAGAACCAACTTGATTTACCCACCTATGCAGAATCGGCCAGTCGTCACGTGACTACTGACCAATTATAACGGATGTGCGACGTCGGCTCGAGACACTAGCACCCCAAGACCGCGTGAGTTGAGTGACGAGTGACTCACGGACAAACATGATCCCAGCTAACGGCCTGCCCACCTTCTTGGCTATTTTGGTATTAACAGGTGAGAAGGTTTTTAATCGTTTCGCATGCTATTTAAATAGAGACACATTTCATTCACTTCACATACTAGTCCGACAGTGGGGTCTGCAGCTATGTTGGTCTTTCTGATCCTCTGTTCCTTGGGTAAGTACCGGACCTAATGCTGTATCAGAGGATCAAAAAGTGGCGTCTCTGTGTTAACACTTTAGAAATACATTTCATGTTTTTTATGATGTTAAAACATTATGCACAGACTATTTAGAACTTTGGATGAAGACAGGTGTCTCTGAATTGCTTACCCACTTGAAAGGCAGGATCAGGGTACAAAGAATTACCTCTTTTAATGTAACGAGTGTGTAGCGGATGCATTCGGACATGCTTATACTTTCCGTGAAGACCTGGTGTCATTGAATCAGTCCAGTCCTTTTCACGGCTTTTTTATTATTTTTTTTTTTTTGCGTCAAATCAAATCTCATTTTGCATATAATCGGGACTGTTTCTCTTCTGCCATTGTCGCACAGGTGCCCGTTAGACTGTGAAGTAGGAGGGATGAGGGAGGGAAGGTGGCATTATCACGTCAGGCAGGTTTAGTTACTTGATGTGTGTGGTGGAAGAATGGCAAAAAACGCTTTCCGCCTTGTGAGACGGTCGGTCGCTCCGGAGTGTGTCCTTCTTCGAGTTTCCACATTGGTGCAACTTATTGGCCCCATTTAGGAATAATGCTCATCATTGTTGTCTCCTCTACTGGGACGTCTTTGTCCTAACTTGGATGGCAAATGTTCATATTGATAGTCGGGCTCTGAATCAGTAGCTAATAATCAGAATCATGTTTCACGCAGTTATTAACTGCAGCCATAGTAACAGTACGCCATTTTAATACCGTTACCGTGAGCGGTTTTATTCATTATAGCATTTGTTTAGTTAATGTTGAAAATCCTGTTAAAATCTGACTGTTCATCTCATTTTTGTAATTTGATTTACTGTGTTATTTTGTCATATGTATGTAGTTAAAAATATGTGTTGTTTCTGTATTTCCTGAATATATCATGCAATGTTAACAACAATAGCTATTTTATATTCAGGAAATAAATGTTCGTGAAAACATATCTAACTTCCAGAAAAAACATGCTGTGATTATTGTCCTAATATAAACGCCTCGTATATTCAAATGTCTGTCTTGTAAACATGCCTTCCACAAGACATATGCTAATGGCCTCTTTTGTTAAGACAGCTTTATTGGACATTTTTGGAAGTTTGTGAGCGTCAGTAACAACGCGACTCAAAATAAAATGACATAGTGATGGTAATAATTTATATACCTGAGTTCCAAACAGTTTGCTCACTCTTTAGATAAGGAACCCGTGATGGTCCGGGTTAGAATTGATCTTCAGTAACCCATGTTTGTCGTAAGAGGCGACTAACGGGATCGGGAGGTCAGGCTCGCTGGCTTCGTTGACACGTCATCGGTTCCCAATTGCGTAGGTCGATGCTCATGCTGTTGATCACTGGATTGTTTGGTCCAGACTCGATTATTTACAGACAGCCGTCATGTAGCTGGAATATTGCTGAGTGCGGCGTAGAACTCAACTCACTCACTCACTCACACTTAGATAAGGGATCGCTCCATATCGGCCTGTGAGGTTACATGACAGTATCATCCTATCGAGTATCATCTTCTTGCTGGTTGAACACAGGTTTCCTTTGGTTACATTTTAACACGGAGTTCCTGATTTGTTTCTGTCTGTAGGACTGTTGTGTTATATTTTTCTGTATCAGTATCTCTAACATGCACAGTAACAAATTTGATTTCATGTTTCCAGGTACTGTCACTGCCATACCAATCACGCAAGATGAAACAACGCCCTTGACCCCTGCCTTGACAAGGGGAGGTAACCCTGCGGCCAACATCCTGTCATCCATCCGTTCCGCCCTGGGTGTTGGTAATGATGCGACCACTCTAGCAGGTAGATACAGAATATTACACAACCACAGCAATCATAACCATGACTAAACTCTCCGTACGAAGATCTGGGTTAGAATTGGCTCTTCAGTTACCCATGTTTGTCGTAAGAGGCGACCATCGGGATCGGGTGGCCAGGCTTGCTGACTTGGTTTACACATGTGATCGTATCCCAGTTGCGTAAATCGATGCTCATGGTGTTGAGCACCGAATTGTCTGGTCCACACTCGATTACGCCGCCATATTGCTGGAATATTGCTGAGTGCAACGATAAACAACAACCCGTACGATCCGGGGAGCGCTGCAGCTGTCTGTGCTGTTTGTCAATAATACCCCAAAGCCATGCAGAAAGACACATGCATCTTCTCCGAAAAGCAATGTGTCACATCGGACTCTACTCCACCATCAAAATGACAGCTGTAATAGAGCTGAGATATTCTTCAAAGCAGACTTAAACCGAACTGACGCAGTCACTATGCCCACACCGAGCAGCCTGGCTGTGGCAAACCGGAAATAATGTTTAAAGCGGAGCTGAACTCTACTCACGTGCAGAGCGTTGGGCTAGTTTCTGTGCAACATAATCAGAGCCACTCTCTTGTTGGGCCCTGGTGACAAACACGAAATATAAGCGTCAGTTTTAGGTATAAAATTTCCATAAAATGTTCATTATACACCAGGAGCCACTGTTATAGGTGAGTCAATGGTTATTAAAAATAATTCTCTTCACAACCCAGCAGAAAATGGGTACCTGGTGGGATAAGTCATGTGACTATAACCTTCTTGCGCCTCACATACAGCTTGGGGTATCCGGGGTAATAACAAACTGTCTGGGCTATGAGCATGCTGTCGGTGTGGATTTAGCGCAATATAAACGGACTGATTATTAATTATGCAAAAATAAGATTTCACTTCGACCCTAAAATCATTTGATCCACTTCAAGAACGATCAGTAGATCGATTTGATCAGTAGAACCCTCATTCTTTTGATTCCAAACAAAATAATCAGAAGGTTCTTGTGAAACTGGCACGTGTGTATAACACAGTTACCAATCCGAAATCACCAGAGCTATCAAGTCAAGATTAGAACTGTTTCGTACATACTGTTAGTAGACTTTGGTTTGTCGTATAAATTTGAGCCTCAGTCATGTGTCCCTTAGGAAGTTACTGTACGGCGTATGTCTCCTACTTTAGGTGGACAATGCAGAAACTAGGGTGAGTGAGTGAATATAGTTTTACGCTACGTTCCAGCATTATAACAGATTGTAATATCGGTAATGCGAAAAATGAAATACTAGTATAATATTGCATTCTCGTCTTCTCGAGATTTTGAGGTGCGATTGCACGACTCTACTTCATGTCCAAATATTGCATTCTCACGTTTGGACTTTGATAAAAAGTGCTATGCACACCCCGAAAAAACGAGACCGCGAGATGTGGCCAATCGCAATTTCGCATGTTTTTTGTTTGGCGTTTAAATACCCGGGATCACGAGAATGTCCTGAAAGTATTCAGTAGGAAGGTATAGTATTCAATAGGGAGGTTAAGTATTCAATAGGGAGGTTAAGTATTCAATAGGGAGGTACAGTATTCAATACGAAGGTACAGTATTCAATAGGGAGGTTAAGTATTCAATAGGGAGGTATAGTTAAATAGGGAGGTATAGTTTTCAAAAGGGAGGTACAGTTAAATAGGGAGGTACAGTATTCAATAGGGAGGTATAGTATTCAATAGGAAGGTACAGTATTCAATAGGGAGGTACAGTATTCAATAGGAAGGTACAGTATTCAATACGCACGATACTCAGTGGCTGTGTGTTAGTCGGCTGTCCCCAAGCTATCCCTCGCACACCATTCTGCAACACAAAACACAGAATTACGACATGCGAGAGCTTCCTACATCACCGGCATGGGGTCAACATGAGGTTGACATAAGTCACCAGCAGCCAGGATCACCTCACACATTCATCACTGTAGAAGCCCAGTTAGACATCCTGTTGACATATGGGTAGACATAAACCTACCTGTTGGTCCGTGGCTACATGAGATGAATAGGGGACACCTTCATGCTAGGGATCTTCAAAGCTTGGCCATATTTCTTGGTTTGTGTTGTGAAACATTAATTGTAAATAATACTGTCGGGGAATACTGTATCAGACTGGTTACGTCAGAAACCCCCAACCTTGTGATTTGTGTAACTACATGATAACACAACAGAAAGGGTTTTTCATGGATTATAAATTTGATATGTCATGTAATGTCCGCCTTATGTGGAGTCGGCTAACAGCCACGCCTATTTCATGAAAACTTGGGACCCCTGTTGGCTGTATGTTAGGATTAATATTATGTACTTATTAACTATATATTATGTAAAACAGGTATATATCATTTCTTTGAGTGGCATTTAAAAGCTGGCATGATGAACACGGACGAATTTTCTTGCTTAAAAAATGTGTCTATCCATTAAAAAACGTTCATGATCAGGTATATATCAGGTATACATTGGGTATATATCACGTATATACAGGCACATAACAGGCTAATATGAGTTAAATCATCAAGTTTCAGGTATATATGTTTCAAGTATATTACAGGTACGTAAAAGGTATATAGGAGAAATCATCAAGTTTCAGGTATATATGTTTCAGGTATATATGAGGTACGTAACAGGTATATTGGAGAATTCATTCAGTGTCAGGTACTTATGGTAAATCATTTAGTTTCAAAGGCAACCGCTCACGAAGAATGTTCGATGACAAATCTAATATACACAGAACTTCCGTGTCTACAAGACGTACAGAATCAAAGGAATGATTTTGTTCCCGAAACTTAATGGAAGGGCTGTCTCAAAATTTCTTTGTTGATGCTAAAACTGAACTAGTTCTAGTGAACTAGTTCAGTTTTAGCAGCAACAAGACGTACAGAATCAAAGGAATGATTTTGTTCCCGAAACTTAATGGAAGGGCTGTCTCCTTTGATTCTGTACGTCTTGAAGACACGGAAGTTCTGTGTTCAAAACTCCATTGAAGATTAAATCACATTTACATGAGTCACAAAGGGATCTACCACATCTAGACGGACGGACTCTGTCTACCGCCAGACAGACACTCGACGGCCACTGACACAAGGCATACATTTATCACAAGTTACAGTATCTCTGTGTGACAATTCCATCCCTCGTTCCCATCAGGGGACTTACGCGGTTTAAGCGCTATGGGAGTTACATATTAGGATGCTGTGGGGGCCTAAAGGAATTGTATTTGGAAGCAAAACGCCTAAAACAAACGTGTTTGTAATAGAATAGGAATTGTCTGACACAAATGCATGAACTAGTTCACACGCACGCACATAGATACATCCAAATAGGTATAGTGTATTTCGTTATATAATGTTAAGTACGCCACTTGTAGCAATATTTCAGTAATATCACGGCCGGGAACACACATTGTACCCAGCATGACTATGTGTCGTCATAAACAACGGCGTTGAACGGTGCTCAACACATCAACCATTGGTAATTCTAATTTCAGAGAGTCGTAATCGATGACTGGCAGATCAAAGAAATCAAATTTCGACATTTGACATCCTTTAAAACACCAGTCATCAAATTCTGGTGTCCCCCACCGTGTATTGCTGGATTTTTGCTCAAAGTGGCGTAAAACTAAACTCACTCACTCACTCATCAAATCTGTTCTTTCTGTTTCAGAAAAAGTTGCAGATATCGCCGACGACCTGACGGAAGCGGATGTCGATGATCTTCTAGATGACGGCGACGAACCTGCTGACGAACCAGATGATGACATGCACGACGACCTTACCGATATGGACATTGATGATCTGTTTGATGAAGACGATTATGATGAAGATAGGCAAGGCGATGGTAGATCGATACTCATGACTGATGATGGCAGAGAAAAGACATCTGCACATGACGACATTTGGGATGATCTGACTGATGCCGATGTTGATGACCTGCTGGATGATGACAGCCATGACGACTACCACGACGATCACAGCGATGAAGAGGAACACTCCGATGACATGGGGGAAGATCTGACTGAAATAGATGTTGATGACTTGTACGATGATGAAGATGAGGACGATGAAGATGATGAGGACGAGGAGGACAGCGTCTATAACAGGATGAAGGAAGTCCGTGACAACATCAGAGAAAGGCTAGCAGATGCTAGCAGCAATGGAGGTGGCGATGACAGATCCGATGTGGAGACCAATAAGGGGTCTTCATCTGACAAAGATCTTGATGATTTCCTTGGGGATATCGACAGATTGTTGCTCGATATGGAGAGCAGCGATGACGAGGGGGATGATCAACTTGATGAAGACTTTGACAAGTTCATGAAGGATTTCAAATCTCTTGCTGCCAACGGCAGCATCAGAAAAACTATCGACATATCCGATGACGACATTGATGAATTGTTTGATGAGGTTGATGATGACATGGAGGAAGGTGGTGAAAAAGCTACTCTTAAGGAGAGGGTGGCTTATATGAAGGAAAGACTAGCACAGATGAAATCCCTTAATGGTGATGATAGTGATACTAAAGAAGGTTCTAGTCTGCAGGAAAACTGGCTTGATATGAAAGAAACAATAGCAGAAATGAATGAAGGCAAGGCAATGATGATGATGATGATGATGATGATGATGATGATGATGATGAAAACAATAATCTCAACGAACGGATCGAAGACATGAAAGAAAGAATTGAAGAAATGAATTCAGGCAATGATGATGATGATGATTGATGATGAAAAATCTAATCTCAATGAACGAATGGAAGATATAAGAGAAAGATTAGAAGGCATGAATTCAGGCAATGATGATGATGATGATGATGATGATGAAAATCTAATCTCAATGAACGAATGGAAGATATAAGAGAAAGAATAGAAGACATGAATTCAAGCAATGATGATGATGATGATGATGATGATGATGAAATCTCATCTCAGCGAACGAATTGAAGATATAAGAGAAAGAATAGAAAACATGAATTCAGGCAGATGATGATGATGATGATGATGATGATGATGAATCTAATCTCAGCGAACGAATTGAAGATATAAGAGAAAGAATAGAAGACATGAAAGCTGCTGATGCTGGTGAAACATTCAGTCTAAACAACAGGATGGAAGAAATGAAAGAAAGGATAGAAGAAATGAATGCCAGCGATGACGATGATGACGACAACGATGACGATGATGATGATGAAGCGTCCGATGCACAGAGCACTATCAGTAACAGAATGAAGTCGATCAAGGAAAAGTTAGAAAATCTCAGAAACAAAAGCGATGACGACGCCGACGTTGATGGCATTCAGACGCCACAACTGACGCGTCTCGAGCTGCTAAGTCAGAAGGTACGGGAATCCCAAGAACGGTTAGGTGACCTCAAAGAGACATTCCACGACCTCACTGCAGCTAATGGCGACAAACATGAGGATGAAGATGACGACAAGGACTACGATTCCCTCGGCAGTCGTGACTACGATACCGATGAAGATGATGAGGCCTATGGCGGTGACGACAGTATCCGACTGAGGCTGATGCACCGTTTACAGTCCCAACGCCGCACACTGAACAGCGACGTTGATGATGATGGCAACGAAACGTCGCCAGCGATGACACTGTACGACGACGACGAGAACGACGATAAAGGTACACCATCACTGATTTCATGAATCAAGCAAATATCTTTCATAATTCGTTACGGGAGAGTGAAGAGTCTATTCCTCTAAGTCTCCACAATTCGCTTGCAGAGTTGTACCCCTTGGGGCGTCATAATCTTGTGAGTGAGTGAGTTTAGTTTTACGCCGCTTTTAGCAATTTTCAAGCAATATCACGGCGGGGGATATCAGAAATGGGCTTCACACATTGTATCTATGTGGGGAATCGAACCCAGGACTTCGACGTGACGAGCGAACGCTTTACCGCACCGCCCCTTAATCTTATCGAACGACGGTTCGAATCCATGATTCGCCCTGATTCTTGGTTTGTCGACTAGACTAGGATTTAATAGAACTAAACTTCAACTTATCTTACTATTTTGAACGTCGGGTAAACTGAGACGCATTGGACATGATTCTAGACAGTTCACATGACGTGTTCAGGGGACAGGGAGTACATCCACTACACTCTCATCAATCATGCTTAGGTCACCGTGACCCGCTTGTCAACCACGCACATTGTTGATTGCACGAACAGAATGTGTGCCTTCACGATATGTCTAATCACGTAAGGAAACATAACTCGTCATATTTCTATTGATTTGACAAATTACTCAAGGTTATATCTGTTGTTATCACATAGTGTAGAAGATTACAGGCATATGTATGACGTTGAATCAACGAGACAGTAACGATCTGTTTATATAACGAACAAGCGTGTAACTACTATACTACTTCGACTGCTATTGCGAACTTGTTTATGGTCTGACTGCTGTATGTTTGAAGTCGAAATACAGACTACGGTTGTAACGAACTCAGAAGTCCACTGGTTTCAATTCGTTATAACCGTAGTTTACTTTATATCTGCTATATCATTTAGGGGCACGATGTACCCGGGTCATGTTGACCTTTACTCGTCAGTATATCAATAATGATACGTATTTGTAACCTTAGAGATGCACCAGTGTATCCTCTTATTTTTAACTTTCAGACATAATCATTGAACATAGATTCATTTATAGCAGCTTTGTGATTGGGAAATATGTTGTGGAAATATTTGACGCCAGCAATATATGACGTCAGATACATTTGTGACATCGTTATATGTGACATGTGAACATGACTGCAGCAATACTTGACGCCAGATATATATGACACAGCGGCAAAATGTGACGGCAGATATACCCGTGACTGCAGCAATATGTGACTTTAGACATATATGTGACACTAACAATATGTGATGCCAGCAAAATGTGACGTCAGATATTTTTATGTGACGCCGGTAATATTTGATCGCAGATATGTATGTGTGACACCAGCAATATGTGAAGTCAGATATATATATATATACACCGGTAATATTTGATCGCAGATATATATGTGTGACACCAGCAATATGTGACGTCAGGTATATTTATGTGACACCGGTAATATTTGATCGCAGATATAAATGTGTGACACCAGCAATATGTGACGTCAGGTACATTTATGTGACACCGGTAATATTTGATCGCAGATATAAATGTGTGACATCAGCAATATGTGACGTCAGATATATTTATGTGACACCGGCAATCTGACTTCTCCTTTCAGACACATGTCCAGTGTTCCCGGTAAAGATAAAAAAGAACGTGATCACTGTCTCCACTGGAAATGGATGTGAAATGTAAGTATTTCTTCAGAGCTCTTCCAATACGTCAGTACTGTTGTAGCAGGTGCATTAAAAGTACTCAACGTAAATTGCAAGCACAAAACGAATTTTAAACGAATTAGGGCCTTATAGAAAATCATCAGCGAAAATATGTAGTTAAGTCTACTAGTCCAAGTTTGTATGTTTCATTATCGACTAAGGTGATTAAATCCGTGAACACCTGGTGTCAGCTATAGTTAATGTTTTGTTGGTCTTCGTAGTTACCTGGTCGCTGGTCTTGTTATCATTCGGTCAGGGTGGCTTCCCCCGTGTTTGGTGTTGTCATTCCCTGTGTAACACCATTCCAGACACATATCATACAGATGACCATCCCGTGATTGATATTTGGAGCAAGTTGAAATACTATGACATACAACACTATGTCTGACCATACTGTACATTAACGGCCGTATAGGTCGTTGAGGAAATGTCCCAACGGTGAAACCCTCCTGGGAGAAAGTACCTGAGGAACTTGCGTGTTATCACGGCCATTTATCACTCATCCGTTTGATAACCATATAGCTGCACTAAGCATTGTGTAATACCACAGAATGTGCGCGTGTACTGCTGAGACATTTGCTGAAACATATCGAAAACTCTGGGCTCATTAATTGTCATTGTGTGAGAGACAATAGCTCACTGTGAGGAGCCCATGCACACTCGATGACCTCACCAACCCTGTTCCCACGCTGACGTCACTGTTCCACCGGTTCATCTTGTAACAACATTTCTCAAATTAATTCAAAGGGTTTTATGACGTCTTTGTAAACGTTTTTGTGCTGTCTTCTGAAGTTAGGCGGCTGTGAGTTAAAATGTTAGATTCATAAGTGTCAACTTTAAATGTTTGAAGGTGTATTTTTCAACATTTTTCTACTCAGTCAGTTTGTGGTATGGATTGAGTCAATGCATATTTACCCACGACAGTGCATGTTGTATTTAAACGCTTGACGTAGTCTCTGTTTAACAAGTTTTAAAAGCCAAGTAATAAATTCTAAACGAACTTCTGTGTGATACAAGCTTTATACTCTATATTTCTGACGGGTTCGTTATGTATGATATATACTGACCACCTGTATATGATGTAGTATATAGATGTTATATATACATGTTATATATTCATGTTATTTTCATCCCCAGCGTCATCAAGTTGTCAGGTCATAGCACGGGAAACGTCATAGTCCGGAAGCGGAACTGAAGATCACGTGACATGGGGAGTACAATCAGAACATTCTGCTTCCGGAAACGGGCGAATGGTTACGGCTGCCGATGACTGGAATGGTCATGGGAGGGTAACGTTGGGTGGAGGCGCACGGCTTTGACAGTGTAACCACGAAAGTCACCTGACAAGCAATTTCCAACAATAAATATCCGACATTCATTTTCTCTGCGGAAGACAAAGTCGAACAGAGGGCCGCCATGACAGGTCAGGGTTATTGCGGTGTATATAGTGTTAGTGTGTGGCTGAAGCTTGGTGGTGGTCATCAAGATTTGTAAACCTGGATATAATCATAACGCGAGTATGTATACATCTTATTTTCCAGAATAAATATTTTTACAAGATGGTCATATTGAATCGTTTGTTTTATCAATGAGCTGAGTGATCACGACGTTTGACCGAGTGGTCGGGTAGACAGACTGGGTGACGTCATCCACCCTGATGGCGAGGCCTTCCCAACAGACACGTTCGTTATTGTGGAGGTTGCTGCGTTGGTAACCATTGTATCAACATTTTAACATATGTAACACCATCATTTCGATTTTTGACAATATGTGGAAATCTGACGTTGTTTCAACGTTAGAAAGTAATCCGACATTAACGTTTCATAACATAAAAGTTCCGCCGGTTATTCCAACATTGAACGACTAAATGCTGGTGCTTGAAACAGATATGCACTGTGTGAGCGCACGTTTGAGCGGAAACTAGATGAAACTACGGAGTGGGTTTGGGAGGTCATTTGGACGAATTCTCTTCTATTCCTCTAAGGCTCCACAATTCGCTTGCAGCGTTGTACCCCAAGGGGTGTCGTAATCAAATGAGTTTAGTTTTACGTCGCTATTCCAGAAATATCACGGCGGGGACACCAGAAAAGGGCTTCACACATTGTACCCATATTGGGACTCGAACCCCGGTCTGCGGCGTGACGAGCGAACGCTTTAACTACTTGGCTACCCCACCGCCCGTTTAGAGCTATAGAGATGTAAACCGAACCGACTAAAATTCAACATTCAAGGACGGTTGATTCAACACCATTTCACCATACAAATGTAAATTACAGCCATTTCAACATTGATTCAGTATTGCTCTTCCTGTTGGTTGCTGTCTGACATTGTCTCTAGTTTTTTATTATATAACTGGAATATTGCACAGCACTGAACCAAGTCGGTCGCTAGACAGTGTTATCACGTCGTGACAAGGCAGGTAGAGTGTAATCTGTAGATAAGACCCCAGTCTCCAACACCGCTTTGAGGTAGGTCAACTGCATGTAACGGGGAGTAAGAATATTCACCTTTCAGCAGCTTGGGAAGAAACTGTACGGGCTGACAATGGAAAATGTGAGACATTCTCGCGATCCCACAGTCGTGTTGTGTACATTAGTCTTGTTTCCAAAGGCGGAGAGAGCGAGAATGTCCCTTACACTAGTCCATAGATAACCCAGTCTGCCGTTTCTATAAAATACCTTGGTCTACACACGTGTTACATGCTGTGATGCGTTGAAGGGTAGAGTCAGTTGTTTTGTTTCTTTGTTATTTCCTGTATCATTCAACCGTTAGTTATATTTAACATTACCATTACTGCCAGTAACCAGTCTATTGGGATACATATCACCATTGTAGATTTGTTGTGGTTTTTTAGGTCTTTTTTCTGTGAGTGGGATGAATCACATGGGTTCGAATTACGGTTTGGACAATTATTTTAAATAAAAGTCTAGACTTTTGCAATCGCATATTGTTTTTGTATGTTATGATTAACCTATATTTCAAATTTGAACGAGATAGCGGTAGAATTTTCTTGAAAATTCATTTCTTCACCGATATCGTGATCTCAAGATTTATATTTTAAAAATTAATGTCCAAACAGTGATTCGAACCCCTTTGGGGTGCATATATTAAGGACAATATCCGTTTATATATCCCATAGGCGGATCCAGAGGGGGGTGCAGGGGTGCGCACCCCCTCTTTTCTCCTGAAAGTTTATTAAATGACCATTGAAACTCGGGTGAAAATGAAGTGTGCACCCCCCTTTTCTCAATAGTGTGTAACCCCACCCCCACCCCCACCCCTGTCAAAAAGCTGTATCCGCCCCTGTATCCGGTGTTTCTGGCTTCACTTCCGTTTCTGTGACAATATTTGTAGTATCGAGAAATGACGTCAATATTGGTTATTGCCAATTATTTCTCATTAGTGAGGTCATAATGGTATCCTTGCTGACGTCATTGTTGGTGGTGAGCGTGTCGGCAAGTCAGCCTGGAGTGGAATTCGTGGGCGTTGGTTACAACCTGCTTACCGCCAACCCAGACGGAGGGGACAGCGTCTTAGGGGGAGTCGACCCGGGCATTCTCTACACCAGGAAGGTATTACACGGACAGAAGGATGAAAGTTTATTAACGTCTCACGTCTAGTCATATACAGGAATTTTCTTACAAACAATATATGTGAGCTTAAATATTCAGAACCACCCATAGGACCCATTTGGAGAAGTATGTGTGTGAATAGATGAATATAAACATATGTATACATATATAGAGAGAGAAATTCATAAAATAATGACATAACACAATTTTCCCTCCCAGGCGTTTCAACTTTATCTTCAGAGTAGACTCCCTGAAGATAAAGCTTAAACGCGTAGGAAGGAAATTCATGTTGTGTCTTTATGTTATGGAATTCTTTGCATATGTACTACTGTAGATTGTTGAAAGAAACCCGTTAATACATGTCTTGATATCGTTATGTAATCCCTCTGGCTTCTGTACACGCGGTAGGTATTTGACATCACCCCTGGCAACAACCCACCGGAAGTCGTGGTAGAGAAGCGTCACAGCTGCGTGCACATCCAGGAGAATCACGTGTTCTACGGCAGCAAATCGTACCAGGATAAACTGGGCCTAGACGTCAAGTCTTCTGGTATGTGGGCTTCTCGATAACTGTCCGATGCCTGATCAGGACGTCTGGTAGACACCGGACTAGACAGGAGTCAACCAGATGTGCAGATCAGGAGTCGGACTCCTGTCTAGTCCTGTGTCTACCAGACGTCCAGATCAGGAGTCGGACTCCTGTCTAATTCTGTGTCTACCAGACGTCCAGATCAGAAGTCGGACTCCTGTCTATTCCTGTGTCTACCAGACGTCCAGAACAGGAGTCCGACTCCTGATCTGCACATCTGGTAGACACAGTCCTGGACAGAACACAGGACCCTTGGGGTTCCATTCGAGGAAAAAAATGTCTTTAGGCTGTGACCGAAAAATAAAATAATAAGAATTGTCCTGTCGTCAGTTCCACTCAGTGTATGATGAGCATGTGTACCATTGGTTCTTTCAGGTGGAGTAAGCGCCGTTCTAGCTAAGTTCGCCTTCACTCTCAGTGGACGTAAGTTTCATTTGAATGGATCTCACGTTGTCATCATAGAATATTTAATTGAAATCAACCATTGTGCATGTGCATACAAAACAATGTATCATGTTACCGCATTGATATATTTCAAGAGAGTGACTCTGGTTTTACGCCACACTCTGATATAGTTATCGTATGTCGAAGAACAAGAAACAAATTATTTAATTAGACCAATCAGATCTTGTGTCAGTTAAATCAACGAATCAGGGCTGCTGTCACTCAAATTAACCAATCATGGCTGATGTCAAATTAAATTAACCAATCAAAGCTGCTGTAAATCAAATTAGGTTACCAGCATGCCCGTGAGGAGACCAATCAGAACCACCAGGTGTTCCTGGACAACCAGAACGTGTGTAACCTAGGACGGGCGAGATACGCGGATGAACTGGCGCAGTCGTTGGGCTTCTCAGTCAGTAGGAACTTTGCCGCTGCCGCTTGTCGACTGCCGTCTGTGTACGATGAGGAAAACTACATGGATTTCATAGACCAGTGGGGCACGGTGAGTGTCGTCTGTGTACGATGGGTGGCAAAACCACTGACATTACATATCAACCCATTTTGCTTGTGGATGATCTGTTGCTCCACCGTTGTCGTTGTTCGTGGTTGGTATCTCTTCTGTCAACTTCAGCGATCGTGCTTGTAGATTCCCCAGCGCCGGACTACCATAAAGCTGTTCTTTATTTCGTTTCATATGTTCCATATTTTGTATTGTCAGCACGTGACGATGGAGGTGGAGCTGGGGAGTAGGCAGATCAAGAGGTACAAGAGCACTCTCAGTCAGTTTGTCGAGCATGTCCGGAAACAGGTGAGACAACAGGCGACACTGAGAAACATTAGTATGTATTGCAGTATTTAAGCCAAATCATTCAATTCTACTGAACATGGGTCAGCAAGTAATATTTAACATAATATATATTGGTTCCTGTTCCATCTGAGGGACGCAACCCTGCGAGTAGATTACCACTACCGCTCCGGGCGGTACGTACGGGTATTTTACCGCGTAGCCGGATGAAGCTACAGTGACGGCACCTGATTGGTGTCAGTACAGACGACCCGTAGTCATTTGAGAGACTGATCTCTCAAAAGCCAAAAGAAGCTATTTTGGCACTGTGAGGAGATGGTTACATCAACGGCGTTCATTCACCCAAAACCGGAACTAAAACATCAAAGGCTCCTGCAGGTTCTTGGTATTTTCAGGGTGGTGCCGACATCTCCCTGGGAGGATCCTACATGGGGTACGGGGCCTCCCTTGCTGTCAACTTTGAGAAGTTCAAGGGCAGTGACAGCTACAAACTGCAGTTTGGGGACTTCCAGTACACGCTCGAGGCAGGAACCCCGGAACTTCCAGAACCTATCGGGGTCAAGGTCGTTACCATTGACACGGCCTTCAACTCTAAATACTGGCAGAAAATGGATGACTTCATACGTGGCCTTCAGTGTAAGGATGGGATGGACACAATGGCTCTTGGTAATCGTCAGGCGAACATTGCAAGGGCGCTGCAGGGCTACGCTGCCTACAAAATGGCACAAGGACCAACCGGTAGGTCTTTCATAAACACCTGAAAGCCCATTACATTCATGAAAGTATGCATTTTGCATGGGATCATTGCTTACCTTATAACGATAGGATTTTTTTTAAACGTAAGACAATCACGTGTTAGTAAAAGATTAATGATGGTATGGTATGGTACAGAATATAGTTGGTATGGTATGGTTTGGTACTTTTTAACATAGTGATTATATTACGTTGTGCTGTGCTGTGCTGTGCTGTGCTGTGCTGTGCCGTGTTGTGTTAAATTTCCGTGTCAACCCTCTCAGGAGGGTGACAACTTGAAAACATATTAAACGCTGCCACGGTAACCGCCCTACCGGCTCGGGTGACACTGCTACAAAGAAGCGTACATCAGACCGATTCACCCCTCTAGCCCCCTGTTGTTACAAGCTACTAATTAGTACCTCTAGCGTATTATATTTACCCTTATATTATATTATATTATATTATATTATATTATATTATATTTATTATATTATATTACATCATATTATTACTAGCGATTCCATTTTGCTGGCTTATCAAGCATTGTTGGGTTTTATTTGTGTGTTCATGTTGTCTTAAACCCAAAATACATTACCCTTGCCCCCACACTGCTGTTTCCTGACTTGCTAATAACAGAGTGGGCGGAGTTTGTGTTGCATTATTGCGCTGAACGATGACACTGATGTCGAAAAACTGTATACAGTTTTGTGTGTTTATAATTGAATAAGAAGTCTGTGAAGTTATTTTTCGTGTTCTTATTTATAAAATTGATTTTTATATATTTTGCGTATACAGAGGTTTCAACGTCTAAACCGATGAGTACACTTTGCGTGAATCTGCTACGCGGATGTCGACATTTTACACACTGGTTTTACGAATAATAATGAGATACTCGAGAATCTCAATCGTAGACATTTTTGGGCTTTCCGCCGTTTTTAGCACTATTCCAGCAATATCGCTGCAGGGGAATGAGCCTCCACACATTGTACTGACTGACTGAGTTTGGTTTTACTCCGCTTTTTAGCAATATTCCAGCAACATCACGACGGGGGACTCCAGAAATGGGCTTCACACATTGTACCCATGTGGGGATTCGAACCCAGGTCTTCGGCGTGACGAGCGAACGCTTTTAACCATTAAGCTACCCCACCGCCCCCTCCACACATTGTACCCTTGTGAGGAACTACAAGGCTATTCCATAGCCCAGACACTGGTACTGAACAGTAGCAATGTAACAATATAAGTCTTCTCTTGCAGACGCAATTTTTTGCTGTGTACCCTAATCTGTTTCTATTTGAGTAGTATAAAAAACAACAACATTTTATTCTATTAGCTTATGTCTAGAAATGCGGTCGGTTGGTTATGAAATACCGTGAGTAACAGCAGTAGAGTGGAGCTCAGTGTACTTGTATTTCAAAGGACATCAGATATTCTTGCATTAGCTTATGCAATATGTTACTGATCATCTGGTGGGACTGACATTCAACAGATCCCCAGCTGATAATCCCTGTGACGTGGCCCCAGGGTACATATGGGCTTATGAAGGCGAGGACTGGATGCCCGGGGGGCCGGGTCACGTGGCATGAGGGATGGAGGTACGAGGACTTCGAGGACGTCATGACTCACAACCACGCGTCTGGACAGCTTCACCTAGCGGGTAGGGGAGATAACTTATTGCCCTCGTCATACAGGCCATAAATGGCTAGCAAATTGTCAAATGCTGTCGTGGCAAGATTTTCACATAAATGATAAGAGTTACCACGGCTATTTGTTTACAAGCATGGCAGGTTTGATCGTTGGAGAGGTTTCGGGACAGATCCGGTTCTACAAGTTTGGATGCATCTCAATGAGAGTAACAGGAGAGCGTTTCATTTAGTTTTTTTAAATTTTCTTTAGCAATAACAGCAGTACATGCCTGGCTTTATGACCAAGTTCGAATGCATCTGGAAGCGTGTTTCAGCCGCCTGTTTTCCTTAAGGGTCATTTGGAGACAACATACGCTTCGACTTCTGCATGAAGGGTGATGTAAAGTCTACCGACTTCGACATGGTGTGGCCTGCTGGAGATTACTGCATCCTCAAGTACGGAAACTGTCCTTCCGGTGAGTCTACCTTTCTGGTGAGTGCGTCCTTCTGGCGAGTCTACAAATCTGGTGAGCATGTCTTTCTTGTGAGTCTACCTTTCTGGTGAGCATGTCCTTCTGGTGAGTCTACCTTTCTGACACGCATGTCCTTCCAATGAGTCTACCCGTCTGGTGAGCCAGTCCTTAATGTGAACCTGTCCTTCCGGTGAGTGGACCATTCTGGTGAGTACGTCCTTCTGGCGAGTACGTCCTTCCGGTGAGCCTACCTTTCTGGTGAGTACGTCCTTCTGGTGAGTCTACTTTTCTGGCGCATGTCCTTCCGACGAGTCTACCCGTCTGGTGAGCCCGTCCTTAATGTGAGCCCGTCCTTAATGTGAGTCTGTCCTTCCGTTGAGTCTACCCTTCCGGTGAGTATGTCCTTTTGGTGAGTCTACCCTCCCCTTGAGTCTACATTTCCGGTAAGACTTGTCCTTAATGTGACACAAGTGAACCTATCAAAGAGTCTGTCCATCAAATGAATCTGCCTTTAAAGTAAGTTTGTCAACCAGGTGTGTCTGCGTCAGGCGATCTTCTATTTTAGCTTACTACCAACGGAATGGTCTTTCTGTTGTTGTACATGTGTTGAGGGATTTAGAGAAGAAATCACGCAGGGCTTGGGAGACACAGGAGACCAAGGCAGCAGTCAGGATTTCTTCTACTCTGCTGCCATGTTATCACCATGTTTCACGGCTTGTGGTAGGTTTCAACTTCTAAGTGTATTGTTTCAGATTTCCAGGAAGGGTGGGTATACTGGAATGACGAAAGCCATAACAACAAAAACAATGCAGGTGGCGCCCTCCCTGACGGCGTCTACAATGCCAACACGCGGATCAACTACTGCTGCCGGTATATACTTCGTCTACGGTCCCAGAACCTTTATGTTAATCGCCAGGTCATGTTTTATAACACTGGTCTGAGGTTATAGGTTTGACATTGTTCTCAGCTCTTTAACAGTGATGCCAGAATATCCCCTTGTCCGAGGAGATTGAACTGATCGGTCGTTACTGACTGAGACGTTATCCACAATATCATTTGTCGGACCAATCCAGATACGTCTACTGTGTCCATATCGGCACACGTGGCGAGCGGACGCTTTAACCAATGAGCTACCAAACCACTCCAATACACACCTTCATTGGTTAAACCAGCGCGAGGCTGGATTAAATAGTACTAAATTACTGGTCATCGTTTATCACGCAATTCATCGGATGCACAAGCTGAGTAATTTGGTTGATCGCTCTTCATCGGACCCGACGGCATTGCCACAATATCAGTCACCGGTTTGCCTAGTCCGGATTCAATTACTCGCGGTCACAGAACGCAGCTTAAATTTACAAACATAAGACACTCCGCCGTTGTCGCTCATCAGTTATTTGTTCACTAAGGGTGGGGGAGAGAGTTAGCTTGGAGAACAGTTACTTTTGTCAACATGGCTGAAAATCCATATGTTTAATGATATAATTAAACTGTCAGCCTTAAAGTAAACATGTTGCATGAAAGTAATTTCTGTCAACATGGCTGAAAATCCATATTTTTAATGATATAATTTAACTGTCAGCCTTAAAGTAAACATGTTGCATGAAAGTAATTTCTGTAGCAGACAAAGTCCATTTTTTAACAATCTCAAGCATAATTATTAGTTTCACGAAATTTCCATGACTCATTTGTTTCGACATTGTCATGCCCCCTTCCTCCGCAACAAAGAATGGTGGACCACTAAGACACTGTCGTGTGCTATACTGCTGTGCTGACGATTTATGCATATACTAACATGTTTCTAAGCAAATATACGTTTAACACATGGTTCTGCCCATTTGCCCACGTTTTGACTGGTTCCCCCTTCAGGGACGACGGACTTCCAGTCCACGACATCGCTCTCCCTACGACCAAGCCTTTCTTCCTCCTCAAGTACAACCGAGGGTGTCAGCACGTCAGTGGGATGACCCTGGCGGAGGAATACGTACAGACCGACACTGAGGACGTCTGGGGTGACAACTCACGCGGAGGAGCACATCCGTACTTCGACGGTGGCAAAAAATCCCAGAATGCACTACTGCTACTATGCACCAAAAGCAAAGGTTTCCCTGATTGGATGAAATAAATCGCACAGTTTGATTCGTTAAATTTTCAAATAATTCAGTAAGTTACGTGGATATTTAAAAAAACATGACCTAATCCAAACGAAATTCGGAAAAATAACAGACTATCATTTTTGTTTAGAAAAAAGTTCAGTTACAGAATTTCTGCAAAAAATGAATATAAAGATAATGTAGCAGTGATGACAGCATTACTGCCACAATCTAAGTGATATATTACGGGTAATGTGAAACGCGCTAGATCTGAAATGAGGTTCGTTTCGAATATTGAAATCCCTTCAGGGCTCTTACAATGATATGCTGATATAAGGATATGCTGTAACGGCGAGAAGCACGACTATCGGAATACAACAGAGTCACTGTACCGCTAACTTTCCACACGTGTTCGACAAGAACCTTACAACCATTGTTTTCAATGTACATAAAGACAAATAGGGGTTGGGGTTTTTTCACTTATTCTTTTAATTTCACAACTTGTAGATTTAAAAAAAAAGAAACAGCTAAAAAGCATGTAGCAATATATTTAAAGGACTGTGTACTCTGTAACTAATCGTCACATATCGCTGGTTACCCGTGAAGATCCGGGTTAGAATTGATCTTCAGTAATCCATGCTTGTGGTAAGAGGCGACTAACGGGATCGTTATTATATCCCAATTTCGTAGATCGATGCTCTTGATGTTGATCACGGGATTGTCTGGCCCTCGATTATTTATAGACAGCCGCCATATAACTGGAATATTGATGGAAACTTACTCACTCATATCGCTGGTAGGTGACAGACGTGTAAGGTGCGTTTGCTCCAGAAGAGGGAAGCTCCCCTGTACTTGGTACCCGAAGTCAGATTCGACTGAGAGGAGGACCAGGAGGGCCAGATGCTGTCGTGGAGTGGATAACTGCTATCTTTCCAAACTCGACACTTCTTCCAAGGCGCTATGATGCAAATACTCCTGGCTTCAGTGTTTACACTATAGGGGCGGTGGGGTAGCCTAGTGGCTAAAGCGTTGGCTCGTCACGCCGAAGACCCGGGTTCGAATCCCCACATGGGTACATTGGGTGAAGCCCATTTCTGGTGTCCCCCGCCGTGATGTTGCTGGAATATTGCTAAAAGGGGCGTAAAACCAAACTCAGTCAGTCAGTCAGTTTACACTATAAGCTCACCAATCGCGCCAATTGGTAGAATGTGTGAAGCCGATCTCTGATGTCCCCCGCCGTGATATTGCTCGAATATAGCTAAAAACGGCGTAAACACTCACTCCGAAAATCTGTACTCTGATTTGCTGAGCATTTCTGTAACGCTCGGAAAAGAACGTGGGTACATTTTAGACCATAGAACACTGTTGGTCTCGTTTGACTATTAATAATCACACGGCTGACACAGTTGACATAACTCCTGCTGTTGTGACTTATAACGTGAGGTGAAATAGAGATTAACGCTGTGTCAAAGATAATTTTACTTACATAGCGACGTGAAAGCATGCGTGGCCGCTTGCGTTAGTCCGGCATCATGGTGCAAGCGCACTGAGAAAACATCGCAATTTACTCAGAACTCAGCAGGCTGACAACTGATGTGGACAAATAATTAGGTGAGCTTATCCTTCAGGTGCAATGACTTATGGTGGTTAGAGAGGGGACAAAAACAATAGTTTTGCAGTTGCATTTTATTCAACATATTAACGTAATTCGTTGAGACAAAGTAACGTTCATATTTCACTTGATGTTGGTTGTTTAGTGCCTGAATCGAGTTCTACGGAGTCTCCACAGACAGGGTGGGTCTCCACAGACAGGGTGGGTCTCCACAGACAGGGTGAGTCTCCACAGACAGGGTGGGTCTCCACAGACAAGGTGGGTCTCCACAGACAGGGTGGGTAGCCAACAATGAACATCAGCTGTCCTTGCTTAGATTCAACTTAAGTCATCATCATTACAGTGGAGTGAGTGAGTTACGTTCGGGAACGATATCAGAACTTTGATTTTGTACATCTTGAACACACGGAAGTTCCGTGTTCAAAATTTCATTGACGATTAAATCACAGTTACATGAGTCACAATGGGATTTACCACATCCAGACGGACCTGTCTACCGCCAGACAGACACTCGACGGCCGCTGACACAAGGTACACATTTATCATAACTGTGTGACAATTCGATGGTCTTTGTACCCATCAGGGGACTTACGGGGTTTATTAAGGAGATAAACATCATGTGTTGGCCAATTTCCGGGTGTTATTGAGTATTTGAAGCACGGAATTAATTTGGAACCGACGGCGTCAGCTGGAATATTCCCGTGCTTCAAATACTCAGTAACACCCGGAAATTGGCCAACACATGATGTTTATCGACATTGTAAACACAAAAGTAAACCAAAAGGTCCACACACGTTTTTGTGTCTGCACTCATTGACATCGTGTACGGGTACAGCAGTGAAATGTCATCAACCGGCCGTTTCGGCTGTCTCTCATGGTAGCATCTGGAACTGCTCATTTGTGACGTCATTCGGACTTTATGATTTGAATGACGTCATCACAGCTGAGGACGTAACAATACAATGGTGTGAGCAATGTTTGTATGTATTAATACGCAGCGAATTTCCGGGAATCGAATACCATTCGATCACGTTTTTCAACCAATCAGATTAAAGAACACAGTGACTTTTGGTTTACAATATGTGAGTGAGTTTAGTTTTACGCTGCACTCAGCAATATTCCAGCTATATGGCGGCGGTCTGTAACATTACAGTGGAACACTTTCCCCACTAAGCCAAGCAGGAGACATATGACAAGGCATATATTAAGACTGACCTTGACCTTGCTCTGAAGAACTATCGTTTAAACCTGATTAACGTCATTGTTCTGAGCTTCATATAGCTGACGACCGCGAGTCAGTATCATGTGTCTGAGTGGGGTATTCATGCTTCACTGCGGCGTGGTATCTCAGTGGGCTAGCACTATAAAACCAGCTTAAGTCTGGGCTAGTATACGCAGCCACACATACACATACACACGCATGCACGTCGTCATATGAGCGAAATATTCTCAAGCACGACGTTAAACCCAATTTCACCTCCCCTCATACAGCTCACCCTATTCAGGAACATTCAGGCAAGGAAACCAGTGCTGAACTTCATAATATAAGACCTGGTGAAACATTAAACATGTTTTACTATTGTTGAGGAAAAGCAGCTAATGACATTGATGCAATGAAACATTGTTACAGTGTCTCTGAAACGATGTGCCCCATCACCCTTGAATGCAAGTGCTGAGTCATGAATATTCAGTATTGGAGAATGGCATATCAGCAAGTTCACAGAAACAACAAATAAACATCAAAATATCAGGAAGCTACCATGCTTATGAGAGCCCAGGCTTTAAAGGTAATACATTGATCAGTAATAAAACCTGCATCATGCTTATGAGAGCCCAGGCTTTATAGGTAATACATTGATCAGTAATAAAACCTGCATCATGCTTATGAGAGCCCAGGCTTTATAGGTAATACATTGATCTGTAATAAAACCTGCATCATGCTTATGAGAGCCCAGGCTTTACAGGTAATACATTGATCAGTAATGAAACCTGCATCATGCTTATGAGAGCCCAGGCTTTATAGGTAATACATTGATCAGTAATGAAACCTGCATCGTGCTTATGAGAGCCCAGGCTTTATAGGTAATACATTGATCAGTAATGAAACCTGCATCATGTTAATAGGTGTGAGTAAGGAATATGTATCATGCTGAAGATGTTGCTGATGAAACCTGTTTCCATTCATGGACTATCAAAAACAAAACATCATAATAATTTACGATACACATAATGTCAAGGTGATTTTCTATTTTGCTTTTGAGAGATCTGCCTGTCAGGATGTACATGACGAGATAGATATTTTCACAAAATATTTTACTTCAATAATTTGGTCATTTGCAACTGACATCTAAGGTATAACAATGACAGCTTCTTGTGAAACTCCCAGCGTAGAAAGTACAGATAATATGTCACAATCAAAGTTTTAACAAATTCAGTTGTATTTTTCTTCTTCAGTCTCCATGTCAACAATAAAAATTATCATGTGTGATAAAGAAATAAATATTTCCTAGACGTCTGTGAGGTCACTGGGTGGAGGTGTCTTTGTGTGTCACGGCTCCCTTCTGTATCAAATCTGGGACTTCCACAGCCAGCCACGGCCCCAGCTGAAACACCAGTTACCACTTTTTATAGCTGGTCTACACGTACTGTAAGTCACAGCACCCAGTAGTCATCACTTGCTACAGCTGATCAACACTTAACGTAAGTCACATCAAACAACAATCATCACTTGCTACAGCTGATCAACACATAACGTAAGTCACATCAAACAGCACTCATCACTTGCTACAGCTGATCAACACATAACGTAAGTCACACCAAACAACACTCATCACTTGCTACAGCTGATCAACACTTCATGTAAGTCACATCAAACAACACTCATCACTTGCTACAGCTGATCAACACTTCATGTAAGTCACATCAAACAACACTCATCACTTGCTACAGCTGATCAACACTTCATGTAAGTCACATCAAACAACACTCATCACTTGCTACAGCTGATCAACACTTAATGTAAGTCACATCAAACAACACTCATCACTTGCTACAGCTGATCAACACTTAACGTGAGTCACATCACACAACACTCATCACTTGCTACAGCTGATCAACACTTAATGTAAGTCACATCAAACAACACTCATCACTTGCTACAGCTGATCAACACTTAACGTAAGTCACATCACACAACACTCATCACTTGCTACAGCTGATCAACACTTAACGTAAGTCACATCAAACAACAATCATCACTTGCTACAGCTGATCAACACTTAATGTAAGTCACATCAAACAACACTCATCACTTGCTACAGCTGACTAACACTTAATGTAAGTCACATCAAACAACACTCATCACTTGCTACAGCTGACTAACACTTAATGTAAGTCACATCAAACAACAATCATCACTTGCTACAGCTGATCAACACTTAATGTAAGTCACAAACAAAAGATGTTATTTGCTACAGCTGACGAACACTTATTTGCTACAGCTGACCAACACTTAATTTGAGTCATGTCAGGGAATACCTGTCACACTTACCCCTAGTGCCATTGCGTGAGCTATTCCAAACTTCGGTACATTTCTGGCCCACAGTGGTTTAAAGTGATCCGTTAAGCAGATTTTACCTCCCCTGTAATTACACAAAACATCAAACCATTTGAGGAAGTCAGTTCAGTGTGTTCATTATGTTGCCACAGTAGCAGAGCTCCAGATAAGATTTAGCTCATGTGGGTACTGTACCCACTGTAATTTGTTGGAGTGGGTATTTTGAATGTTGAGTGGGTATTTCATTTTCCGTTACCCACTGCTTTCAAATATGTGCGTATTTCAGTCCTTTTACTCACCTAAGTATTATGTCATTGAGTAAGTTTACTAAGCAGGTATGTTCTGCCTTATGTCATACCTAATCAAAACCAACTTAAATATAATTGAAATGATTTCATAAAAAAATCACTCATCCTATACTGACAGTACAACACTTGTCCTATCCTAACAGTACAACTTGATAGCAATCGATGTCTCTTTCATTACGAAAGCGATTTTTTATAAATATAGTTTGTACGCATTTGTTTTAAACTTTTTGCGTATCTAACATTTTAAATGCGTAATTGGTACGCAACAGTTATTTTTCAATGCGTAATTTGAAACTTTCTATGCGTATTTTACCCAGATACGCAGCTTATCTGGGCCTCTGTCAGTAGCATGTAAACACAGTATTAGCAACTGATAACATGTTGCCATGACTACTGGCAAGTTATTACCTGAAATTGTACACTATTTTATTATAATAGAAATGGTTTCTATTATAAACACCATTTACTGACAAAGGATATCATGTTGCCATGGTTACCTGTACATCTTGGCTGTCTTGCCATCTAGTTCTGGCAGTGCTATTTCTGGTGCAGTTGTTGGGTAGGTCACAGGAATCTGGAAGTTGATCGAAAAATGGTATTTACGAAGTGATTGATATTTTTTTCTTTTATTGAACTAAAGAAATTAAAGCTGCATGAAGTCTGTGAGTTGATCTGCTAGAAGCTAACTCCAGAAATGAAGCATATTTAAAGAGGCTGGATACCGTGGTTTGTGCGCATTCCCTTTATCTTGTTTCTAATCACACTTCATGATATTTTGGCCACACAAGCATTGATCCTAAGGTAAACCTGGGCAATAGTTATCTCCCCTTGTCAAATTTAATTTGGGTATGCTGTTTTAATTGGGAATAATGTTGATACCCTCTGGCAACATATATTTATTTTTGAATATTAATCTAGTGTGAATTTACTATATACAAATTCATTTTATAAAAAAATCATGTTATTATAAAAATCTTTTTTCCATTGATGAATCAATATTGTTTTTAAATTCCTGTCTTTTTAGAAGGTAATTAATGTGTCAAATCCTACATACTGCCTTGAAAATTGATTTTCCAGATTTATTTCAATCAATACTGAAATATCTTTATAAAAATACACATATTGAATAATAAAAGTAAACAATTTACTTTTAAGAGAACTTTTATTGACATATTACTTTTTACAGACGGTGCCACAAGGGGGCGCCACTTGTCAAACAAATGCCGTTGTGACTTGCTATTTTTATTACATAATTAGATTTGGGACACATTTTTCTACAAAATGATACCAAATTTAGCAATTTCTTTACATTTTGAGATTTAGTATGCAACCTCCTTAAGTCAGTTCAGCCAATCAGGACACAGCAGACTATTGTAGATGTTGCCTATGTATTTATTATGGTTACTGGTACAAAACACATATATTTCCTGGCTAGCCATTATCATGCAACAGAACTTCTTGCAATGTTGTTTTTCTTCACTGATGCATGATGCCACTATATGAATCCTACTCTGCACCACCAACATCATTTTGGCACTCATATCACGACTGAAATTAACATATTGGCAAAAGTAACAATTCTGGGTAACACTATAAAATTCCAATCAAGAATGACCTACATTGAATTACTTTCCAGTATCATTTCCCTAACACTGGGAACCAACTTTTGATAATCATCAAACACGACACGGCCAGACAATTCACCATTCAAGTGGTTCTAACAGAGAGTTATCCAAGGGAGGTAACTTGTGGAATAAAGTAATCTTACGATGATATCATAGTACTGACCATGCTGGCACGGGTTTAAATAGCTGTAAACAATGGTCTAGTGTCTACATTGGGGAGACAACTCAAACCATGGAAAATTTTTAAACTTTGTTGAGGATAGGATTTCAGCACAATACCGTAATGACACGTTATATTAGAAATTGACAAGTGCTGTCCATTGTCTTCTATGAATTTTACGTATGCTTCATCTCACAGGCCACAGATTTGATGAAGCACCATGAAAAGCTACATCCTTCATAGTTTCAGTATTAAAGTTATTATTTTTTTACGTCAGCTATTGTTTATAATGAAGCTAAGTTTAATTTCAAAGTGGACATTTAAAAATTGTCCTTTGTAATATAATATCATCGCACACTAATTTGCATAAAGCCATGGCCTGTTCCAAATAAGTGGCTTTGGACGCATTTCTCATTTCTGCACTAATCTCTCCTCAGTAAAGTCCTTTTTCTACGTTTCCAATCTCCCTACCACTGAGACTGTAGTTAGGCCGAACTTAGTTTAACAGATATTTCACACTTACACATATTAACTACATAAATTGTAGATATCAATGCGGAAAAAACAGTTTTGTTCTATTTCCAACAGTAGTTTAGTCATATGAGCCTACATATGTTAACACACACACCTGTATGTGAACTAGGTTGATTTTTTCAGATTGTTTTGCTCAAAGTTACTTCTCCAATATTTATGAACAATCGATCGAATTTCAGTTAACAATTATTGATCTCTATGCTTGATATCGATAGCCAGCCCTAGAAAATGTATAACCTTTGTTCACAAATACACCAATTCCCTTACTTACGATGTGTATAAATGAATCAAAAGCACTGTTGTGTTTTTGCTTTTTCACTTTTTGCAGACCAGAAATAATAGAAACCTGCTCAAAATATATCTTAATAGCTTAAAAAAATACATCCTTGATAGTCTCCAGGGTATATGTTACGATAACTCTCCACTATACCCTCGATGCATCCACGGCTTGGGGGCGATGATTTTATTACCTCCCTTGGCTGGCTTTTTATCCAATTAGGTGCCTACGCTGGGAGGTTGAGCGTACAAATCACAACGCACTGTGCTTCTTGAATTATCTAACCGTTAACCTTTGCAACACAATTGATGCAGAGGTACTCTGAAAGAAGTAGAAGGAGTTCTTTCATGTATTTTTTGAAAGTTTCAAATCTGTGAATTTGTCTTTATTATTTCCCCCAAAATCTGATTGGCACTGCGAACAAACCTTCGCGACTGCGACCGCTATCTTTGTCTGAAAGCTCGGTTGTAACGGCGGTTTAGCTGATTGGCTACTGTGAGAAATGCGGAGTCAGCCAAGGGAGGTAATAAAATTATCGCCCCAAAGCCGTGGATGCATCCAGGGTATAGTGGAGAGTGATCGTAGCGTATACCCTGGAGATTATCGAGGATGAAAAAACTATAGTAAGTACAGATACTGCTAGGTGATAACAAACAATGAAACATTTTACTTACGTCAAATTCTACATCAAACTCATACTTGAGCAGCTCGTGGATATACCAACATTTCCCAAACCAGCGTGTACCCTCCTTGTTCGACTCCAGTCGAAACCAGTCATTGTCTCCCTCCTTGTTGTTCTGTACATACTGGAAATATACACAGACATTGTAACCATGGTAACACTATGAGTTAGTCACCGTGAATTTACCTTTAGTTTAGTTGATAGTATACAAAAACAATAAAAAGGCAATATGTTAGTTCATTTACAGCCTCTAATAAATCAAATGCATATGTTTAATGTTATAAGTCTCTTGACATGACATGATTAAGTATGAGTGAGTGAGTGAGTTGAGTTTTCGCCGCATTCACTGATGATTCAGCAATATTCCAGCTATATGGTGGCGGTCTGTAAATAATCGAATCCGGACCAGACAATCCAGTCATCAACAGCATGATCATTGATCTGCGGAATTGGGAACCGATGACATGTGTACACCAAACCAGCGAGCCTGACCACCCGATTTGTTACTGAATATCAATTCTAACCCAGACCTTCACGGGTCGATAAAGTATAAAGTTCTGAAACACGATAAATTGGATCCAAATCAATCTCTGTCAACTTTATGTCAACACAATCAGAAATCAGTGCATGCTTGCTGGTGGGTACCGGTATATCTTTTTTATCAAACTATAACCAGCAGGGGTAATTCCAAAATGTCAGAATCTCTGTATATTACTGTTCAGTTGTGCATTGAGATGTAGTGTTTTACAACCAGATAGAAACCAGAGCCTAGTGTTTAATGTCTATACAGTTGAACCTTGGTTATACGGACTCTTGCAATGTCACACATTTTGTCTTGATAAACAAATTTCCACAAGCACATACAACTAAAGCGAAAGATTATTCAAATGTTTTGCAAAGTCAATTTCTCCATTGCATCCTTCACCAAATTCAGGTCAATAAACAGGTGATGAGAAACTTGGTTTCTGATTGAAAATAATTTCAACGAATTTAGATGTACTGATCACAATATATTGTGTATGAATCCAATCTTGTTTTATTCTATTTCAAGCGTTTACTAATACCATATATAATACCAGGTACACCGGTATTTGAAATAACCATGACCATTTGCAAAATACTTAGCAGCAAATAATTGTTTTTTCCATATGTTTTTTATGTAAAACAATTTGATCAGTCACTGTTTAGATTTCAGTCGAGAAAACATCATGTTTGCAAATTGCATACAAAATTCAGGGTACTACAAATAAGGTTCTAAACGGGTCAAAGCATGGCAGTTAAGGTATGTGGGTGGGTCCATTTCTGTCAGCTAACATTCATTTGCAGGTAATAACAGCAGTAATAATCTGAGAGTGGCTGAAGTAAAGATATATGAGTCACACACAATTTTGATGAACAATATTGAAAGAAAGTTTGAATAAAATTTAAATAACAAATCACAACGGCAGTCCTATTATTTTGTGTAAACAGTATGTGTAATAATACTAATATCATAATAACCATCGTTTTGATGTTTGATGCTCTTGCTACGTGATAAATTGCAAAACATATCGTCAAGTGTGGTCACTGTCCGGTAAGTGGGACACAGTAGTGTGTATTTGGCACTACTGGTAATAGACACTCACTGTCCAGATAAAAAAAACGAATTTCCAGATAATTGAAGCATTTATTATGGTATGTATGTGGCAGTAACATATTGTGTATATTTTAACATGTTGTTTATTGATTAGAATTCATGTAAATAAATGCTTTAAATTTCATTGCACAGCTTTAGTCATTCTATTTTACCATGATACTTAGCCTGCCTTAACTAACTATCACTCACAGCCAGTTCACTGAGCATGCTTACTGCACAACACAGCACAATAACATAAGCCCTTCCCCACTTAGGTCCTTTTGTCTCTATAGCCAGCTTGGGCAATCAGCTAAGCTTTACACTTTTACACATTACAAGGTTTGTGGTCACTCCACATTCAATCGTCAGATGAGCGACATTCCATGTGGATTTTCTTAACAGATCTTTGGATCACATTCTGAGGTAATTTGGATATTTTATCTATTTATTGTTCATGTATATCATTTGTAGATATAACTTGTAGTTGTATCAGTGTGTGTTAGTCTCAAATCCATAGTTCTGTGAATTTGGTGATAAATACTCTACATTCATTATAATGTAATATTAGTAACATGATTAATAAAAGGCAAGGTTAACCATGTGAGCATGTGATGAATGCAGGGCTCCAGATAAGGGCCGTATCGGCGTATGTACGGATAAAAAATATGCACGATACGGTAGGAAATAATTTAGAAAACGTAGCAGATACGCACCACAGCAATGGTGTACGGTCTTAGAATCACTTACAGACGTATTTATCTGAAAAAAAGTATTGTTTTATTGTTTATTGACCTGTTTACACAAGAGTAGCAATGTTGTGGTGCATATATGAAACGAAACACAAGATTACTGATAGTCCATTAGCTTCCATTCAGTACTCTAAATGTACACTTAAGGTTTTCCAGTACTCAATATTGAACAAATAAGGAGTACGTACTCCTGATGTTGAAAAATTATCTGGAGCCCTGTGAATGGATGAACACAAGTATAGCTTTGTAATCATAAATGAATGAATGAGGTCTTATTTTGCATTGTTTTATATCTTGCTCAGCTACGGCCACATTTGTGTTTGATTACTGCATTATTGCTGAGAATGCTTTTGTATATGTTCATTATTAGCATGACTGTACATATTATTATTTTCTCTACATACGAAAAGTTCATACAGACACAGCAGTGTCCCCAGGTGTGAAATAAACCTAGGCCCACACACCTGGTAGGTTTATATATTGTTAATATGTCATGTATATCAAATGAAATACATTTTGTACACAGTAATTGTTTACTGAAGCAACTGTTTTGTAATGTTATAGCATATGTACGAATTATATGTGTATATCTGTGTTTAGGATCTGTGTATATTGCTTCATTTATTATATTGTAACATGATTGTTTCAGGGTTGCTGTTTTCACTACCCACATCTCTAATAAACCATCGGCCATTGAAGAACAAAAAAGTAGCGTCTGTTGACTGTCTGTGACTGACGCAGTCCTGCTACATGTATTTCACACCAATATTGTTGGTTTGGCAAGGTTTTGGGATACCTGCGACCTGGATGAGCAGGTTTCCGCTTTACATAATGTTGTGTGTGTGTGTGTGTTTTGAGGTTTTCGGCTGTCACACTGCAAACAATGTTTAGTGTACCATCAACCAATGAATCTTTTGAGTATACTTTCAACCGTCCTTCAGCAGTATTCCAGCAAAATCAGTAGTAAATTATCACTGTCCAAGACAACAGAAATTAGCTTCACACATTGTACCTATGTGGGCGTGGTTAAGAATCATAGAGGAGACTCCGATATTTTTCATATAGACCTCATATCAAACCGCAGCATCCTTTCAGGCTTCACATAAATCAGATACGTAACAACCAAGTAATGACCATGATGACGGTTTGATTAGGTTGAGCTTGTACATTGAATCATTCATTCTACCATATGGTATACTATAGGATCCACTGGGCTGGACACGATATCACGTTAATTGTAAGCGAAATAAAACCTTTATCAGCGCTTGATATTCCTCCTTTAAACGCTGTACCCACAATTCTCCATCACGTGGGCTGGCTTTCGTTTTCAACAGAGGAATCTGCGCTAAAGTGTTCTTGGTGACTTCGTCAACCATGTTGATTTTGTAAAGGAAGTAGCAGGAGTTATCTTCCTTGTGTATAGAGACTCCATACAGCGATAAGGATGCAACGCTTGTATGTGATGTGCAGAGCTTGCACTATCCGATCCGAAATTGCATTGTGCAGTATCGCGTGATGATGCAAACATCGATAATAAGAGTAATGATAATCGCAAATTGTGTTTCTGTGACAAACACTGACTGATTTTAGGTATGTTATGTAAAAAAAGACAGGGGTTTGTATTGGATGTTTTGGGGATTCGTTGTTATTTTGTAGATATTGTCAGAGATCGGTGGGGTGGTGCCGGAAGTGTACAAAACTAGCTCGACTTCACTACCTCCGGCGATATGATTGGCTAACACATTACACTGAATGAATGTGTTTCTTTAAAAAATATTTGTACTCGTTTTTAAAATTATTCTTACCAAGATAAAACATCAGATAGTGACATCTTGGATGATAGACGTTTGAGTTTCCCTCTCATTTTCGCACGTGCATTTGTTGTCATTTTATTAACCAATTTGATTGCGCTGACGACCTAGTTTTGTACACTTCCGGCACAGCAACTCGGTCTTTGGCGATTTAATAAAAACCATCAAATGCATCCCCACGGAAAGCCCATGTATATTCCTCATACATACATCGGAGATATGGACAAAAGCTTTTGATACTTGTGAGACCTTTAAAATACGATATATTCATTGACATGTGCGTAATTGTCCGGTTTTCGATCATGTCACTGTATTTCTGTAGTGAACCCTTTCTATATTATATAGTAGGGGTGTTGATACTAAACCGGGGCCTAGTTTATCGATTTTCTCACCCGCATTTGGGGCCTGTGGGTGGTATTGGAGTCTGCCATCTAGTTGTGAAATGATAATTATCAGCGATGGATATGTCAATCACTGGATTGTCTGGTCTGGACATGGTTACTTACAAATGCAAAACCATCCATAAGTAATTAGAAATAATTTCGATCAAAACTGTCATGGTTAGACATGCGCGGATCCAGGTCTTCCCCACCCCCACCCCCACCCCCGAGTGTTCCGAATGTACTACATGTTTTATGCCCAGGGTTCCGAGGATTGGGGTGCAACAACAACAAACACAAACACACACACACACACACACACACACACACACACACACACCCCACCGAAAATCCTGTATCCGCCCCTGGTTAGAGAAGCTTCTCTATTCGTTCAGGTTGATAAGAAACTCAAGACTGTCCATTTCAGTCTAGCCTCTACCCCCATATCAACTCCCTGATACTACTTGAATAGTCTGATTAAAATGCGTAAAACAATATTCACACACATGTTAATTTGGGATGGGATGTATGGGGGAGAGGGGGGTTGGGCGACTGGCTCGATTTTACAATAAAGACACTCGCCTCGCCATAAAAAAGGACAGTACGGGATTGGCGAGTTGCTTGTCAGTTCACAACTCATCAGCCGAACTGCTTGTAGTTGACACGGCAGGATGCCTGCTCTCGCCAGCGCGCTGGCTCACTTGTGAGCGGAGCTATCTCACACTGTGCTGTTAATGTCCGCGACTTGGACTGAACTTCGCAGCTTAATCCGCGGATCCGCGGAAAGCACGGGAAGAGGGGCGTGAGTGTACCTCGTGTGAGGTAGCTTTGACGCGGCGGCTCAAGATTTTGTGTCGACATACTTGATCGTCAAATTTTATATGCGATCCGAAATAACAATGAAAAGTTATCAGAAGTAGCTAGCATGACTGTTGGGCTCAGATTAATCTGAGCGAGCAGGGCATAAGACCCGGTTGTCGACCATACGCAAGCATAACGTGTAACAAGTGTCCAAATTTTCGACGATTCTCTCCATCATGCAGTTTTCCCCACGGATCCGATATTACTACTGAACAAACCTTACCGCTTAGAAGATCCGAAGTTCCACTAATGATCCGAAGAAAATACGTCACAACCAGGCAACGGGCTCACGGCCCATCGCTACGTGGTCACGGTACTCGTCTCCGTAGATTAAGCAGCGTTTGAAATCCGAGCAAACGCAGAAAACAACTATGGTAAAGCGAATCCGAAAACCGATGGCAAAATCCGAGATATTGGCTTCTGTTTCGTCATAGGTACCTGAGAATCATCAACGTGAACAACGACAGGCGCTTTTCATTCGCCTCTTTTCCCGTGGCAAGGGATCCGAAAAAAATACTGCCCTACACTTTAAAAAAAAAAACCAACGTTTTTTTTCCCCTCGTCGTGACCCCAATTGATATTAGGCCAGACCCTCCTCATCTGTGTGACCAGTGCAGACCAACAGCCGATGATCGGCGTTCTTGCACGTGTCCGTATCAGTTGGATTAGGGTGGTGGGTTTGATTGGTGGTAGGGTTGGGTTGGGTTGGGTTGGGTTGGGTTGATCTAAGTTGGGAGGGAGGTGGTGGGGGAAGGGAGGGGTTTAAGTGAAACTCCATGCTCGGCCAGATTTAAATCTCGATGTTATAATATTATTCTAATTAACCTGGTTTACGTAACATGCATAATTGCAATTCCTCTAATTGGAAGTGGGGGGAGGTCACAATTAGGTATCTGTTTTGCCGTAATTGCTCTGACGTCAATGGTCCAGTAGTTGTTATTGTTTGTTGTTGTTGTTATTGTTATTGTTATTGTTTCGCACATTAACAAACACCTAGGACACACACACACTAAAGCCAACAACAACGCATTTTGTCAGAATGAACTGGCCACCGGATCCGAAACTAACCAGACATGTCGGGCCCATGCACAGAAATTATTCTCGCGAGTGAGATTAATCTTGCCGTAATGGACACTAACTTCCCCGCTACTAGATGGCATGTAGTCGCCAATCCCGACGTTCAAAAATCAGCGAAGTTTCTATGAGTCATGCAGTTTTCCCCACCTGTCCGATATTACCATTGAAGCTGCATAGGGAGTCGGCATATCCGAAATTTGTTTGTCGCTAGCACTTCCTGGTGGTTTCGCTGAAGCTGTCGTGCCCGCTCCCGAGCATTCTCGACAATCCTCCGTGCCATGTGGTCACGATGGTCGGTTTAACGCACCTCTATTGCATATTTTGTCCCTGATCCGAAATTAGAGCGTGAACAAAGTTTTGCTGAGACGGATCCGATGCTAAGCGCGGTATTCGTTCCCATTTGCCGATGTCCTAAAACATGCCGAACAAATCGCCACAGTCACGGCGTTGAGCGGAGGGATTCCTCAAAAGATCGACTTCAATTCGCACTTCTGCACCGATCCGATGTTATCAAATAATCAACGCTAAGTGCCGGAAGATCCGAAGTTATGTGTGTAACCTGAGCCGGTTCATGTAGCCCGCGGGAACAACGGTTTAGTCAGTCATATGGTCTGCCAAAATGGACTGTCCTTAGGTTGTTTTGTATGCTTTGTTACGCCAACCAACTAGCTATTGACACCGTAATAAGTTCCAGAATATGCGTGTCTCTAAGAAACATTTGTCGTCATCAGAAGCCTCATAATGAGCTGGATATAATCATTCCTTCTAGAAAATAGATCTGTCACACTGTCCACATAATCAATCACCTTCTACAGGGCAGTCTATACACGTATATTATATATGATAGGTCCGGGGAAACCATGCGCAATTCAAGGTTGTCAGATGGACACAGTTCATGATTACCCCATTTTGTGGTGACTGGTTCATGAAAGACCCACACACTTGGGGAACCGCAGGCCAGCAGAACATAATCATCTTGGAGTTGATGACCAGTTCCGATTTTAAAACACTGGACCAACTGGTTAAAAACTAAAACAAAATAATTTGCTAGACCACCTCCATATTAAAAATAGAATATAACAAACACTTGTTTGGCGGTGGAGTTTATTTAATAAGATAGGTAAACAAGCCGCTGAGGTGAAAAATATCCGACAGCCCAACACCGACCTTAAAATACTATATATAAACACTACTGACACCATAATCATGGCATGTATTGAAGTAAAACTGAGCTATGAGTCATGTGGTACGCCGAACACAGCAATATTCCAGCTATATGGCGGCATGCGTGGTTAAGAATAAAAGAGACAATTCCTGTTGTTATGCAAATTAAACGTCATGACACATAAATTCTGCAATTACATCAGTCACAAAAATATTTTTTCACTATCGCCAATCCATATAGCCACAACGTTGTGCTCAACTACATACACTAAGAACATTACTGAGTTTGCAAGTTTAAAATTGTCAATATCGAGAGTGTCAAATAACCAAGTCATATTCCATATGTCAGTCTATCGACCTATAAACTTCATGAACAGGATTAGTTGTTCGATGTACCCGACGCGCCAAGGAACAAAGAAACGCATTCGCGTCGTCAAAGGCGATCCGAAGTTATGGGGAAGCTTGCATTCTCGTATCTCGTGCTGAGTTCTCTGAATCATGTGTCGACCCACATCAGCTGCCCGGCGTTCGGCCATGGACTCGCGCGCGTCTCTACGTAACAGGGCCGCGGTCCATGTACAGCCTATTCAAGTAGCTTCGCGCAGCTCACGATTCCGCCAGATCCGAATTTCCGTAAAGCAACCTCCAAAGTCAATGAGGACTATTTTCCTCCGTCCTTACGTGTGCTCCTTAACCATGCGGAGCGTGTATTTTCCGGGCAAACATACATCATCCTCATTGATTAAGAAATCCGAAGTTACAGACAGTCGCAGTCAGCAATACATACGGATCCGAAATTACACAGGGATCCGAAAAGTGTCAGTTCCCTCTGAGCACAACGACGCTCATTTGCCTGATATTTGTAACGCGTTCTTCTCAAGAACTGAGGTCCCAAAAATCCCACAGGTTCGTGCCGATCCGAAATTACTACGAAACCGCGGGGCATTGGCAACCCGGTGCATTGTTGTAACTGGATTAGGGACACCGTGAACTGAATACACCTCGAGGCACCAAAGACGTGTTTGTACGTAGAACAAAAAAATAAAATATTAAATTTGTTTTATTCATTCTGACAAAAATAGCGCTAATATTAAGGGATTTTTAGTACCAAAAAAACCC